AAAAAAAAAAAAAAAAAAAAAAAAAAAAGGGGGGTGGCACCGCCAGCCCCCTCGGTTGGAAGTCTGATAGGGGTGGGAGTACTGGAGGCTCTGTGCTGCCTTCTACTTCGCCTAGAACATCTTTGCAGAGCCGCCAAACCCTACAAGCCCCGGCAATTCTACGAATTAAGCTCCGTTCCCTTCTCACTTGCCCTGCCCGCTCCACGTGAGGGACCGGAGCTGCCAGACTCGCGGTAGTCCCTCCCCTCCCCTCCCCTCCCCTCCCTCCCCCTTCCTTCCTTTCCCCACCTCGCCCCGCCCCGCCCCGCCCCCGGGCCCGCCCATTCGGCCCGAGCTGATCTAGGCTTCTCCTCCGGAGCCTGCTCGCTGCTGCGGCTGCGCCTCCCCGTCCGCCGTGTCACCGCCGCCGCCATGCCCGGAGGACTGCTTCTCGGGGACGAAGCCCCCAACTTTGAGGCCGACACCACCATCGGCCGCATCCGCTTCCACGATTACCTGGGAGACTCGTAAGTGGCCACCGCGTCGCCCGGCCAGGTGGCGGGTCCCCAGAGCTGCCTTCCCCGCCTCCGTTCTCCGCGCTGCGCTCGGCCGCGGCGCGCCGCTGGCTCACCCTTCACCGGTTCCCGCACGTGCCGGCCGCCGGGATCCCGCCGAGCATCACCGGGCGTTGCTGGGGACCTGTGACCTCTGCCGGCCCTGCGTGGATCACCAGATCCTTCCCTGACCCAGCGTGGCTGGGCCGGCGTGGGGAGGAGGTCCTTGCCGGGGACGGTTTGTAGTCCCTTTAGCCTGGTTTTGTAAACAGTGCTAACTTTGTTTTGAGGTCGGAACGAAAACCCGGGGGAGGTGGGGCGGGGGTGCTCCGGGTTGGAGGTCATTTCCTGGGACGTTTGCCCGGGGTCGCACTGCCCGCCCCCCCCCCCCCCCCCCCCCCCCGCTCTAGAATTTGCACCCTGCGGAAGGTGGGTGCCCACGGCGAAAGTTAAAAGCACACAGCTGCAGGTTAGGGTTGGGCCCGGCGTTATCTGAGCTCCTGCTTAACTTCGGGGAGTGGTATTTGAGGACTTCTGAAATTTTTTAAAAAACTACCGTGTGCCAGGTAAGTAGCCAGAAGACTTTTTGTCCAGAACCTCCTTCGGTGGTCAAAATAAGATTTTGCGTAACAGCCCTGGGAGGAACCTAGAACAAGTGTGGCGGTCATTCCAGAATAATCAACACTTTGAGGGAGGGGCTGTCCAGCGCCTGCGACCATTTTGCCACTGTGGGCCATTCCAAGGCTAGGACACGTGTACATGCCTACTTTGAGACTCTTTTGTTTCCCAGTGGTCCCCTCCCCCTCTGCCTTGCATCCAGCGCCGGGCCATAAGGGCTAGAAGTACACTGGTGTGGTCTCAGTTTCACAGCTCCTGAATGCACAAATTGTAAGGTGCTAAGTTTCTGTCAGCGAGTCACGGCTCCGTTGTGGTTCTGGAGTTTTCATGCCCCTACTACACTCTTAGGACTCTTGGGTTTGTATGTTTTGGGGAAGACGGTGCAGTTTTTGAAACTAATCCGTGATCAGGCAGGGAAGCTTTAGATTCGGGTGAGGATTTTTAACTTGGCATCCATTTTCCACCTACCAACTAAGGGAAAGCAGCTTTTAGAAGAGAATAGTAGGCTAGGAAGAAAGTTGCAGATGGAACTCTCAGAGCTTGCGGGAGAAGAGTCTGGAGATAAGCATGACTGCCAGCCTCACGTTCAGAACCTAGTGTTGACAGTTATCCAAGACCGCTGAAGGTTTGTTTACACAGTGTTCCTTCCCTTCCTGTCTGCAGCCCACACCCCCGGGAAATGGGAGGTCTTGCTGGAACTCTCCGTCTCTATAGATTAGAGATAAATAAGACTCCCAGAAGCACCTGTACTGTGAAGATAACTTCAGGGCAGGGGAGGGGGGAGGGTCGTTGTGATCGTTTATTGACCCAGATCTGATCTGAAATGTTCAGTGTCCGTGATGCACCCAGGTGCCTGTTATGCCAGCTAACCCAGTAGACAGATGGGAAGATCGTAGGTTCAAGGCCAACCTGGGTAACTTAGTGAGGCCCTGTCTCTAGAGAAAAACTTAAATAAGAAAATGAAGTAGCATCTTAGGAAGAGGAGGTGGATTTATGAGCAAACACACACAACAGCGTCCTTTGTGCCAGGGAGGCACGGTACACCTGCCACAACCAAGAAGGGCGTTTCCACCCTGTGCGTCATTATAATCCATGGAATTTGCCTAATTTTTTCCAAACTCCATTCTGTAGATGGTTTCAAGTCAAACTGCCAAATACAGGCTCAAATGCCCTTTGGAGGAAAAAAAAAATGATCTTTAAGATTACTCTAACCGTAACTAAAGGTTTTGGGTGTTGGGTGTATTTGCTTAGCTTAGCATGGTCTCTGTGAAGATACTCTGTGAAAAAGTATCTTTACAGTATTTCCCAGGGCTCCTCACTAATCAAAACACCTGCACCAGAGGTTTCTGGTAGAAGTAGGGGCCATTCTCTTAGGAAGAGGAAACCTTTTGTCCTTTGAAAATGGGGAAGGAAATGGCATAATTTAATTGAATTTCTGCAAAGAGTAGGGAAGACAGGCCAGGGCGAGACATTCTTGGAATACCTTGAGATAGATGTGACATAAAACTAGCTCCCCAACTGGACTCAGCAAAACATTTGCCTCACAATTTAAAAAAAAAAAAAAATCGAATTCATCATTCCTATAGCAGTACACAAAAGTAATGCCCTGTTCCATTTCTTTGCTGAAACTTTTATAGCCTTTCTCTTAAGTCTCATCTTAACCCCCATTGGTCCGTTTCCATAGAATCTAAGGCCTAAATGTCACAGCTAAATTAAATCTTGAAGGACATATGTCACCGTGCTAAAAACTGAACACTATCATCTCTTAACAATCTTCAAGTATTACCCAGTTCTTTCTTACCGTGGGGCCTTACATCCTTTTAAAAGAAGGCCTGGCCTTGCCTTGCCTTGCCTTGCCTTGCCGTGCCTTGCCTTGCCTTGCCTTGCCTTGCCTTGCCTTACCCCTGGGAGTTGAGCGCAGGAATAGGTAGAAGGCAGTAGCTTTGTCCGCTTTGTTCTTCATGCTCAGGGAAATATGCCAACCCGCAGTGACTAGGCCAGATTGAGCAATCTTCTGGTTTGGGACCTTGCCCCTGGATGGCTCAGGCAGTGGAAGTGTACAGGCCTGGGTGCTCAGTTTTCCTTTACGCTTGAAAGAACCGGATCTGTCACCAAGGAGAAGGGAATAGGACTCCCAAGTTTCTTGGAACTCACCTTGAGTTATCCTAAAAATCTGTACAACATTAACCTTAATCTTTACCTACGAACTGTAGATGTGGAAGTCCGCATTGTAGGGTATCTGTGTTTTCTACCTGCTTGGTCGAAAGTAAGAAAAGACTGCAACTGTTAAAAAGTGGTATTTTGTCATGGTGCAAATATGGGTGCCTTGTTTAACAAGTTAGATCAATTCGCTGGCTTTGTGAAGGATTTTATATCTACCTGCTTCCAGGAAGCCAAGTGCCAACCTAAATTTTTACCTACAAATTGAGGTTAGAGCCCTGCCTGTACTGAGTTACATAATCTGTTTATTATTGTAGTCACGCATCTTTGGATTTGGGGCATAATAGGCGCCCAAAATCAAGGTCTGTGCTAGAAAATAAACAAAAGGCCTAAGGAGTATTTCAATAGGGTGCCTGACTTGAATAGCACAAATTTTATTGACTGGAAAGGAGTTGCGTTACAGCTAGGTGTGATGGCTCTCTGAGTTCAAGGCCAGCCTGCTATTTTAGATTTAAAAAAAAAAAAGTGACACCCTAAAATGAATCCTTTTGAACGCTTCATCCTGAATATTATATATTTATATACATATATATAATTTTATATATCGATAAGTGTTTGAGCAGTCAACTTGGGCTTCTCTGGAGGCAAGGTTGGAACTAAAGAGTTTAAATGTCTTCATTATGTGCAGATAGTTTAAGGGAAGAAAAACTGTTTTAAATGCAGATAGCGACTGTTTCATTCTGCGTGGTAATGGTGACTGCCCACTCAGTTGTGACCCTCTTCTTCGTTCCAGATGGGGCATTCTCTTTTCCCACCCACGGGACTTTACCCCAGTGTGCACCACAGAGCTTGGCAGAGCTGCAAAGCTGGCGCCAGAGTTTGCCAAGAGGAATGTTAAGTTGATTGCTCTTTCAATAGACAGTGTTGAGGACCATTTTGCCTGGACCAAGGTATAGTCCTATGATCTGAGGTGTGTGTGTGTGTGTGTGTGTGTGTGTGTGTGTGTGTGTGTGTTATCCTTCCTTTCCTGTTCCCTCCCACACATTCCTTATAGCCTGACTATCTTCCAAGAGGCAATGTCTTAATTATGTGCTAGTGATTGGATTGCTGGCCACAGCTCCCTCCACAGCTTTGAACAGAGCCAGGCAGGACTACGGGACTTTAATCCCTACCCAGTCTGTGGGGAGAAGCAGCTGGAGGTAGAACTGTGCTTCAGTAATTGATAATTTAACCAACTATGCCTATCAAGTGTCTATAAGAATCCTAAGAGGTACAGTTCCATGATGTTCTTTATTGCCAAACCAGTGTGCTTACCTGGGGCACTGAGGCTCCATCCTGAAGTTTGTACGTCTGTTCATCTGCATTCTTTGTAAATGCATTTCCCTACATTCTGTAAGCTCCCAAGTTATAGTCCCAAAGGGAGGTGCATAAGAGTCCCAAATTTTTAGCCAGCTTGGAGCTTGTGATTGGTATCAAAATGGGGGTATCTTGTTTGGTCTGAGCCTTCTGTAGAATCTGATGCCACCTCGCCAGTTAGATAATGTCCAGGCTGAGTCGAATTGAAGACTCAGTGATAGTATACATTGCAGAACTGATTGGTTGCTGGAGGGAGAAATGCCTGTACACTTCCTGGTAACCAGAGATGTCACCGAAGTCTTTATGTTCCTTAGTAAGAGACTAGGAAAACCCACTTTGCTTTCCCCACCTCTGTATCGGAAGTATCAGTTGGCTTGCGCTTTGATTCTGAAGTCGCATTTACTTGAGAATATTTACTCTTAGCTACATAGAGTGGAACTTGGTTTCTGAGATAAGTGTACGCCCACCCTGGGTTCAGAGTTCACTAGTCAGCTGAAATCAAACTTCAACTTTATAGCGATGTCTGTGTTGTTCTCTCCAACAGTAGATTCCCAGTCACCGTCTTCCCTGATTTACCAGTAGCCTTCCGCCCAGTTGATCTCTCTGAACCCTGCTCTCCTGGCGTTCAGGACGCTGCCTCCAGCTAGCCATGCTTAGAATTGTTTTTTCCTTTTCTCCGAGTTCCTAAGTTGTGCTGAAGTTGACCAGAACCTATTTCATGGCCTGCTTCTCCCTTTCTATCTGTACTCTCTCCCTTGGTGTGCTCTTCCACTTGCCAAGATAAGCTAAAGAGAACATCCACGAGCTGTTTCTCAGAATCCCATCTCAGTCTGCACTCTCCCCTGGCCTCCGTTCAGTAAAACACACCACCTTGGCACCTCCTGAGGGATATCCAGACACGTTAAACCGAGTGTGTCTAAAATTGGACCCCGTTATTTCTTCCAAGATTTTATTCATCTCGGCTAATAGCAGCTACATTTCTGGAGTTGTTAAGTTGAGGCTCCAGAGCCATTCTTAACTCCTTGTGTTTTCACAGCTTCTGTCTGGTTTATCCACACAAACTCACAGGCACTCTGTATTAAATACTTCCATCTGCCTTGCCTATAGTGCTTTTGGCGTTTTACCTCAAGTGGCGCCTCGTTAAAACCCTTCTTTTTGTCTTCATCTGAAATTATAATGCCTGATCATGCTTCATACCTCCTCTTTAGCGCTTGTCACTGTCTAAATCTCTGCATGTGGCTCATCTAGCCCCTATGTTCTTCCCTCTTGGAGTGGGGCCCAGCAGGAATAAGCTTTAGCTCACTGCTGCAGAAGCACTTGGTACAGTTGGTGTTTGTTGAATGAGTGGATTGAAATTGTCTGCTTTGGACAAAATTATTTACAGGTATTTGGATATGACGCTTTAACTGACTTCGCTACAGTATACCACATAAGGCCTACCATTTGTGCGTGGGTACTGAGCACTGCCGATCACATACAACTGAGTAAAAGCTGGCATTAAAAGCTGGTATGTGAGCTGGTCCACATCCCATGGCCATTTCACATCAATTAATCCTCAGCGTCTAGGCTGGAAGGGTGATGGGTAGGATAATAAGGGTTGTCGTCTTCCCTGGGGTGTATTTTTTCACCCTGCACACCTTGACAGTGACTGGTGACTGGCCTTCCCTTGGCTGCCTCACAGGCAGTTTCTCTTTAGAGCTCCTTACTCTAAGCTGCTTTTGTAAGTGAGTATTGGAGTGGCTTGCTGCACCTCCCCCAGGTGAAAAAGAGATCCATGTCGTCTGAACCTCAATATTCTTTCTGTGCCAGTGGCAAAGAGTGAGGTTGTCCTGACTTAAGGTAAAATAAATACAAAATAATGTGGCTCTTTGGTGTCTGAGTATAATGTCCTGTCAGCTAAACACGTGACAAGGTCAAGAATTAGTGTATACCAATATTAACATATAGCCATGTACAGTAATGTCTATTAATATCAAAATATAAATTGCAGATTGCCAAAAGAGTTCAAAGCTCATTGTTACATAACACCTCTAAATATAGGAACATACCTGGGTTCATTTTATCTGCCTTAGACATTTCCAAAATTGTGTTTCTCTGAAATAGAAAACAAGCCCAAACGTCCAAAAGCAGTGCCAGCTTTGACATATAACTGATTACATAGGAAAGTTCCAGATGTCCTGGTAGGAAACCGTATTGGCTTTTCTTTAGCTGCTGACTAGATAATAGTCAGCTAGTGACTGACAACAAAAGGTGATTTCGGGTAATAAAATCAATGAAGATCAAATTTTTTGCTGTTCATTCCAGAGTTTGTCACCTTTATCTCCTCTCATCCCTAAAGAAATTTGAAACGGTTTCAAATCTGCCATCCTATCAACCCCGTTTCCAGGCTGATGAGCTTCACATGAGTAATAAACACACCTTTTTCTAATATTAAATGCACTCTCCTGTCACTTCTAACCCCCTTGGTTTGCTTCCTCACTGTCCCACAGTAGATGATGCATGGACTTGCCTACATGTCTCTCCTCCCCAAAATGCCTTGCTCTTCCAAGTGAAAAGTCTCACCTGTCTTTCAAAGCCCAGGTAGACATTACACTCCTTTCTTGAGGCCTTCCCTCGCTCCTCAGTCCTAGAAGTTTAAAGAGAGTTCAGTGTGGAGAGGGCTTTGGCTTATGAATACCATACCCTGCAAATATCCCTTTGAGCTGATAAATTGCCATGAGAAGTGTCTGGTCATGCAGCTTACGAAAGTTCCTTAGAGAACATTATTGTGATGATGGTTCCTCAGCTATCAAAGAGATGCTTCCCAGCTGATGAAATGCAGAGAACCACGTCAGGTTTAAGATTTTCTCTCTCCCTTGTTCCTCTGTTTCAGGACATCAATGCTTACAATGGCAACGATCCCACAGAGAAGTTTCCATTTCCCATCATCGATGATAAGAACAGGGACATTGCTATCCTTCTAGGCATGTTGGATCCAGCTGAGAAGGATGAAAAGGGCATGCCCGTGACAGCCCGTGTGGTGAGTCCTCACAGCCCCATGTAAATGCTTGAGCCAGCGCAAGGAAATGGAGGACTATGCGGTTATGAAAGAGCTATGTGCCGGTGTCCTTCATTATGTGCTGATGCAGAGTGCCTGAAATATTCAGCTAACATGTCTGTTTAATCCGTAGCTGTTGAGTATCTACAGGTTAATTTATAGTACATCCAAAGCTGTTCTCTAGAGCTAAAAAATCTTACCTGTTTTATCTCCTGCCAGCCATCTTTAAAGCAGCTCTTGACAGGACGATCCAGAATGTTATTGTTCTGTCATTTACTCACTGGGGAACAAGCCTGAGCTCCTGTAATACAGAGCTGTTTGAGGCCCCATACCAGCTCACACTAGGAATCTGCTCGTGATAACCATCTAGGTAATCACCAGGGGACCTAGTACATCTCCCTGAGGCTTGTCCCTGAAAATTTGATTACAGTTTCTTTCTTTATGGAATAGCAAACTTTGATGTGCACATAGAAAAGAGAGTGGCCTGTGTCCCAGACAGAACCTTGTCCATCCTTCCACTTCTTTGTTGTGTTTCTGGTTTTTTTGTGGTTTTGTTTTTTGTTTTTTTTGTTGTTGTTGCATCTCTGAATAGCTTTGAATCAGGCCTTAAAACAATGGACCCCCAAAGAATTAAAATTTCTCCAGGAATCTTGCTCTAGAATGGAAAGTCTAAGGCATCCACCATTTGGACAGCTGAGTAAATGGACATGTGCATGTTTCTGTTCCATCTCTGCTGTAACACTGTTACAGTGGAGCAGCTTAGCAGATGAGAGCACTTGCCGCCAGACCTGAGGATCTGGGATTGGATTCCTGGAACCCACGAGGTCCAGGAAGAGAACCAACTCCTGCAAGCTAACCTCTGACCTCCACTCTTATGGTGGCATGTGTTTACACCCACACCCTCACACACAAAAACAACTTTAAAAAAAAAAAATTATAGAATTGTCAGAGCAGTGGTTCTCAACCTGTGGGTCATGACCCCTTCAGGGTCTAACAACCCTTTCACAGGGGTTACGTATCCTATCCTGCATCTCGATGTTTACATTATGATTCATAACAGTAGCAAAATTACAGTTGTGTAGTAACAACAAAATAATTTTATGGCTGGCGGTCCCTGCAACATGAGGAACTGTATTAAAGGGTAAGCTTGCAAACCACTGTGTTGGAGAAAGGATGGGCAGACTAGGAGGAGTCTGTCCCTGGTCTGGCTACCCTGTAAGGAAGTCTGTTTTTCTTTCCCAGTTCTATTTTCTTCCTCTCTTGGGCCAGGGGGAAATGAGGCATTAAACTCATGAACCTGAATGTCCAGTAAGAGCTTTACCGACTCGTGTACTGAGGAAACCCCTCCTGTCCGTGTGCTCCACAGGTGTTTATTTTTGGCCCTGACAAGAAACTGAAGCTGTCGATCCTCTACCCAGCCACCACAGGCAGGAACTTCGATGAGATTCTCAGAGTGGTTGACTCCCTCCAGCTGACGGCGACAAAGCGGGTTGCCACCCCAGTTGATTGGAAGGTAAAAGTTGCTCAAGAACTAGGAGCCCAGGTTGCCCGAAAGGTCCGAAGGACGGTCTGTCATGGCCGCCTGCAGGAGCTGGGTGTGGTGTGCCAGGAGGATGTGTTTAAGAGATCGTTTACGCTGTATGTATCAAAACACAAACTCTGGGTTTTGCTAACCCTTGTGTAATTCCAATACATCAGTCACAATGATCCCTTTTTCATCTAGAAGTTGAACATCCCTAATCCAAAAATCCTAGATCCACAGTGCTCCAAAATTCAACGGAGATATGCACATATTCTTTATCCAAAAATGCCTAAATATGAAACGCTTCCTTCTTTTCTAGATACAGGATAGTCAATATTTACAAAATTAAAAAAAAAAAATCTTTCATTTAACCATTACCTGATATAAGAAAAATATTTAGAACATTCCTGGAACGCAATGGAACTTGTTGTAATCCTTGCACCCCAGAGGCGGGGGCTGGAGGATCACAAGTTCAGGCTCAGCTTATGCGGGTCCTGTCCCAAAAGATCAGGAAGAAAGAAGAAAAGCTTAATTAGCTGTTTCACCTCTGTCATGGTGGCTGTGTAAGCGTTGGTGTACTGATGTTAGAACATTTTATTCTCTAAGCTCCAACCTTTTAAATATACAGTCTTTGAAACTTGCTCAGAAGTGAGTGTGGGCGGGGGGGGGGGTGAGAAAGAGTCTCATGGTCTCATATAGCCCTTGCTGGCCTGAAAACTCACCAGTTGCCAAGAATGACCTTGAGTTTCTGATCCTCTTGTTTCTACTAAGTGTCAGGATCTCAATCGTGTGTCACCATGCCCAGTTTTACATAGTCCTGGGGCCCGAACCCAGGGCTTCATGCATGCCAAGCAAGCAGTCTGCTGTCCGAGTTAATCCCTGCACCTACTCCTTTTAAAAATAGGAGTTTGGTATTTATCATAGACTGGCCCTCGACTCTTAATCTCCTGCCACAGTCTTTATTAGGCTGAGATCTACAGACATGCACTGCCACACCAAGATTGTTCATAAACTTTTAGTACCTAAGAAATAAATAAGACCTATAAATAAGCAAATAAATAAGATAATAAACCAAGCGCCTCTTAGTGTTACTTTATAACCTGAGTACAGGGTTTTGATGAGAGAGAGTGAGTCTAGTCTGACCTAATCCACTAGGATCTGTAAACCAAGGGGTAGGTTTTTAATTAAACGTTAAGGTGTGGCCAGCGAGGATGGGCTTTAAAACAGGACTGTTTATATTTACAATGGGGAAATACTTAACTAACAAACATGTCAAATCAGTTTGTAAAACCAAAGTAAGTTTCTCAAAGAGAGAATAAAGCATACTTGCTTACTTTCATTACCACCTTCATTCACGACATAATTAATTCTTAAAGACCTTTTTTCCATTACTGTAAGATTGAATGACACCATTCTTAATGTCTCCCAACAGGAAGGAGATAGTGTGATGGTCCTTCCCACCATCCCCGAAGACGAAGCCAAACAACTTTTCCCTAAAGGAGTCTTCACCAAAGAGCTCCCATCTGGCAAAAAATACCTCCGTTATACCCCCCAGCCTTAAGTCTTTGTGGGAGTTGGGTCTGCCACTGCTCTCCCAGCACGGTGTACCTGAGGAGGCCAGCTGACAGTCACGTGTCCTCACAGCAGTTCCGTAGAAACATCCCAGTGTGATCACAGCCGAAGTCGTTAGGTCACTATACTACTGGCTCATTAAATGGAAATGGCACCAAAACTTTCTCGGGGTTCTTTTCTGTGTGCCTTCACCAGCATTCTGTCCCTCTGTCCATCTCCAGGCCCTGCTGCCTGGCTTTCCTGGACACACATTCTGTACTGGAGACTCAGATCTTGTTAGGTCTGTGAGAATGTGTGATCGATAAGGTAGTGTCAGGTGGTGGTAGAGGAAGCTCGCTCCACTCCATTGTAGAAAGGTTATCAGAACCTTCTGTAGCTTTTCAGACTGAATCTGCTGTTGCCCATTTTGGAGAGCACTAAAATGGGGGTGGGGGCTTTCAATTCCGTACTTTTAGTCAATAAAATGGGAACAGCACAAGGAGAGTTCTTTATAAGAAATCTGTAGTGAGTTTCTATTAAAGCAAGATAAAAGCGGCCTTTTTTTTTTTTTTTTTTTTTTTTTTTTGCCTCCCAGGGAGGGAAGTGCACCCAAGGGTATGAGCAAGACAGAGCATGTAACTCCTGGCATTTCCATGTCTGCTCTTATGATATGTGCATGTGAAGACAGGCGGTGACAGAATGTTATAGCACTAAGCTGGCCTAGTGGGTTGCCATTTTCAAAATTTTGCTTTTCAGAGTTCAGCAAATAAAATCTTTGTTTAAACTGGATCAGAAAATTGTGTTGTCACATCTTGAAGTACTAGCTTAGACTCATACCCTAAGGGACAGGGACACACTTCCCTCTTAACTAGGATTGGCACAGCTGTCCTTCCCAAACATAAATCAAATTTCATGTGAAGTGTGCCACCAAAGGACAGGATTCCCGTATGTATGCTGGGCCACTTTGCTGGGTCCTGTTTTCCTAATCTTGTGAGTAGGTATGCAGATCACAACCTTCTAACTCAGTGGTTCTCAACCTGGGGTTCCAACAACCCTTTCAGGGGTCAATGGCTGGGGGTCACCACCACGTAAACTGTATTAAAGGGTCACAGCATTGGGAAGGTTGAGAACCTTTCCTGTAATGGTTAGAGTATCTTAATGTGGGGCTTAAAAATCAGAACTTTGAGATGGTGATTTTTCTACTCTGAACTGAATGGTTTCTCTCCAGCTTATATGTAATGCTACTAAGTCAGGGTAGGGAGGCATGTGTGGGTCTGCATTGTAACCAAGATACCATGACAGGGTGGCTTGAGCAGTAGATGTGTATTTCTGGGTGTCAAGCTAGAGTATTTTTATTTTTACTTATTTTACATCCCAGTCATTGCCTCCTCCCTCTTCTTACGGTCCCACCCTCCTTGTTTCCCCTATCCCCACTCCCCTGCTCAGAGAAGGGGATCCCCTTGCCTCCCACCCACCCAGTAGCCACCTCCTTTGTGGCCTGGTGAGGTAGCCCTTCCAGGGGGCAGTGATCACAAAGCAGGCAACAGAGTCCATGTGAAAGACAGCCCGCGTTCCTCTTACTCGGGAACCTATATGAGGACTGAGCTATCTGTGTAAGGGTCCTAGGTCCAATCCATGCCTAGGCCCTGGTTAGTTGGCTCTGTTGGTCTTCTTATGGACCTCCTATCCCCCCTCGGTCCTTCTAAACAACCCCCCCCCACTCTTCTACAAGACTCCCTGCCCTCCTCCCAGGGGTTGTAGGTCTCTGCATCTGTTTGCATCAGCTGCTGGGTGATGCCACTCGGAGGACAGCTATGCTAGGCTCCTATCTGGACCCATTGCGGAGTGGCAACCATGTCAGGGGTTGGCTGGCTCCCCCCATAGGGGGTAGACTCACAGTCTCGGGTTAGGCCAGACATTGGTTGGACATTTTCTCAATCTCTGCTTTATTTCTGTCCCAGCACATCTTGTAGGCAGGGTATATTCTGGGTCAAAGTTTCTGGGAGTGGGTTGGTGTCCCCCACCCTCCACTAGGAGTCTAGTAAGGCTTGGGTAACTCAATTGATAAGACTCCTGACCCTTAACTGAGAAGCTGGGGAGTCTTAAGGTCAAGGCAGTAGTGGATCTGGGTCCTCTCCCTACCAATTAGGTACCTCACTGCTCACTCTCCTCCCTTAAACATTTGCCTAGTTTGGTCCTTGCTTTCCATGGGAAGTCTGACTTCCAATTCCTGTTGAACACGTTTTTAAATGCCTTGTTGGGTGGGGAGGGTAAGTTTGGGCCTGGATTTTTTAGAATGAATCCCATTGTCCATGTGAAGATTTTTTTCTCCAAACTGAATCAGAGCAATGAAAAACGGAATTTTCTTGTTGTTGTTTGATTTGAAATAGGAACTCAGTAATGTAGCCCAGACTCTGCCCTCAAACTCTCAGGTGCACCTGCCTCTGCCTTCCGACTGCTGAGGTTAAAGGTGTGTGCCACAGCCTCTGGCCCAAGAAACAAGGAATTAAGGAGGCAGCTCTAATGAAGATTCCAGAATTAAGAAATGCTTTAGTTAGAGCAGATAGCCTTCTGAGGTCCTCAGGCGAAAAGCTGAACTCTGGCCTTGAGAAAGTTGGCTTCCTCTCCATCCTTATATAGAGATCAGTGAACGGAGAGAGAACAACAACATCTAAAGGGCCAAGTCTTGCTGCCAGCTCCTACATGCAGCACCCTGGCATGGTCCCCCTTGTTGTCTCTGCTTGTTTAAAGCTGTGCGAGCTGAGGAAATGGAATTATGATTCTAGTTTGAGGGCGTGTTAACTGGCTTAAAAAAAAAATCATTACCAGGGACCTTAGTGCTTGCTACACAGGCCCCACAGTCTACAGACAAAGCACATATAGTAGGGTATGCTTATAATCTCATCACTGTAGAGGCAAAGACCGGTGTGTCTCTGCGGCTCCCTGTCCATCCAGCCAAAGCTAATCCGCAAGCCCCAGGCTCCAGTGAGAGATCCTGTTTGAAAATAAGATGATTGGCTCCTGAATAACACCCATACGTGCACACACATACAGACAGACAGACAGACAGACGTGTCATTACCAACCTTCTTGTGACTGACTGGTTCAGAAAGTGGTGTGTGGTTACTTTTGCCTGTGAGACGCAAAGATGATTCCTAGGATTTTTAGGGTTTTTTGTTTTGTTTTGTTTTGTTTTGTTTTGTTTTTGAGTCAGTGTTGTGTAGGCAAGGCTGACCTCAAACTTTTGATCTTCCTGCTTTTACTTCCCAGGTGCTAGGGTTCTAGGTGTGAGCCACCATGCCCAACTTCTAAAATAATTCTTTAGCTAAAGAGTAATTAGCAGGGCTTAGGGAGTTTAATGGAGTTTTTTTGTTTTGTTTTGTTTTGTTTTGTTTTGTTTGTTTTTGTTTTGTTTTGGGGGTGGGTTGTCTAATACTGGATGTGATTTAAAAAAAAATATGCAACAACAAAATAAAGCTGAACTGGTGAGTAACAGAGTAGAAAGAGAAAAGCTAGGTCTTTGATAATTTCTACACTGGGAAAAATTGTCCTATTTTAGGTTGGTTTTCTGTTCACCTGAAGCACAAATTTCTGTATATATAGAGTGAGGTGCCATCTTCTAATCATTTCAGATACATGCTAATATACCTCGTAAGCAAGACTGTAAAGCTTAACACCTTTTCTAGTGCATCTATAACACCTACACTTGATTGCAAAGTTAAATATGCAATAAATATGCTGAGCAGGGTATCAAAATGAAGAGCTCAGAGATTGCGACAATAGAGCCATATGGAGTCCAGGACCTTGTGACAGGCTGAGCAAACACTGTTGTTGCTCATCATTGTCTGTTCCTCTCTTGGGCCTGATGAACACCCTGGCTGGTCAGAATATCAAGGGGAAGTGCCCGCTCCTCTCTGGGTGACAAGAGCAACGTGTTCACATAGCAGTTCTGGACGAAGAGGAGGTCCCTTCCTAACCGAAAAAGGACAGAGGCATCTGTTCTTGTTTCTGTGCTACAGTGCTAAAACACCCTGACCAAAAGTCACAAGAGGGGAGGGTTTATGGTTCTAGGTTACAGTCCGTCATTTTGGGGAAGTCAAGGCAGGTACTGGTCAAGTCATACCCACAATCGAGCAAAAAGGAAAACGTGTCTTTGCTTGATTGATGTGTATATTTTTTTCACTTTTAAACAGTTCTGAGCCCAGCCCATGAAATGGTACCACCCCATCAGGCTGGATCTTCCTGTATCAATTAACAGTGGGGGCAAACCCCACCACACCCATGCCCATAGGCCCACTTGATCTAGGTGACTCCTCAACTGAGGTTCTCTCCTCAAGTAATTAATTCTGCTGTGGCAAACTGACAATTAAAACTTACCAGCCCTCCCCCAAGAATGAAAGCTCTTCCCAACACTCCTGAAAAGCAAATGGACACGACCACCCCGACCCCCACCCCGCCCTGGTGATACAGGTGTTTCACTGAAATGAGAAGACAAGGACGAGTGAGTGGGGCACTAGAAGAGGCTTGGTCGGTGACACCCTCAAGCAGAACACCAGACGTCACATCAGGAAAATGAACCTCTGTGGTCAAGCACAGTCAGGATTCTGTGGTGTGCGGCCACACGTGGTATTTCCTGACACAAGTGAAGGCCACTCAATTTTTTCTTTCTTACTTTTTTTTTTTTCTTACCCTCTATCATGGTTTTCCCAAAACTATCATATATTCTCAGTCTGGTTGAAGTGTAAAGGAATAATGGATTCTAAAAAGTTATTCATTGGCCATAACATTCAACTTTATTTGACTTTTAAAAATGAAATGGAAAGTTTACATCAAAGAGGAGTATGAAATGGAAGAATTTTTATTTCTCCTGAACCTTGCTTTCAGTAACCAAGATTGTAGAATATTTCCCCACTTTTCAGCACATACTAAGTTAGAGAGGGAAGATACAGACTATCAGAAGGGCACTAACTATAGCAATGTCGCAAGGAAAGATTGCAAATATTGTGATTTAGATCACCATGCTAGCTGCACATCTCATTTGCTGACTTACTGTTGTGGCTCGTGCTCAGCTGGGGGAAAGGCCCCATCACTAAGTTTTAAAGAATTCTATATTACCCTGAAGAATTCTGAGTATCTCAAGTATGAGGCAACTTCTCTGAAGCATTTGTGGCAATCAATTAA